AGCAAGCCGATGTAATCTTTAGTAAACCAACGATACTCTACAGACAACCAATGTGAATATTTATGTGATAAAACAATATGAGGCCACTGAGAACCAACGAAAGCAAAAGAAATTTCATTCTCCTTTAAAATATTTCTTCAAAAACAGCAAGTACCACATTAATCATCGCCATACATTACCAGCAACCTAAACGTTCGAGCTATAACATTGACTTCGCAACTGTGAGGCTTCTTGCTTTTTACATTACATATCAACATTCTTGTAAAACATATTATTGTTCTTGCGAGACTCAAATGCGACTATTTAATTAAAACTAGAAATAGCTCTTGCTAGTACTGCCCGCAAACAATTAGTTCCTTGATAATGATTGTTTTGAAAATTTAGGTCAGGATATTCGAAGAAGACACCATCTTGGGTTTTCACAATTCTATAAAAACAGCTGCTCTAGTTGATGCTAAACTATTCTTTTTATCAAGAATTTTTGGTGTTCAGTTTGCCTTTGATTTAAGTCCAACGCCCTTTTGAAAATCATGAAGTTTTTCGAGGGTTTGACATTTATTTTTCGATAATCACGACAATCATAACTTTTGCTCGTACGGTCTCGAGTTTTTGGGAGAAAAGTGTGGCATTCGACTGGTTTTGATTCCCAAAACTTCGAATCAAAACTTCCATCCATTGCGGAGAACAGAGCTGTGATACAGCACCGTTTTCGTGCCAACAATCATAACTTTTGCTCGTACGGTCTCGAGTTTTTGGGAGAAAAGTGTGGCATTCGACTGGTTTTGATTCCCAAAACTTCGAATCAAAACTTCCATCCATTGCGGAGAACAGAGCTGTGATGCAGCACCGTTTTCGTGCCAAAAAACCGAAGGCAACAGAGTCTTGGCAGAGCAGCGCTCCGAAGATAATTCCCTTCCGCACAAAGAGGTGGCGGTTAACGATCTCCTCGACAAAGCCGATTGATTGACAATGAAATTGATTGACAGTTGTCATGGCAGCAGAAAAGTGACAAAATCTGCTGAAAAAGTGCTGACAACATGAACTGAAGCTTCCATATGCTACTTATACGCGGGGCAGACTATAAGCCCTTCACTCGCGCGCTATCGCGCGCGAGTTGCGGGCAATAATACAGTCATTATAAATTGAGCTTCACATGCAAGCATTACCCGAACTCTTGACTTCCGTTCATAGAATCAGTTTGAAAATGGCTTTGAAAGAAAGCAAACATTTCGATAAGCCTTTCTACTGACATTAAGTTCTAAAGTATCAGAGTATTCAATTTTTATGTAGATAGATTCTAGAAACAGGGACGGATTTAATCGGCGAAGATTGGGGGTGTCACACCCTTCAGGTCATTGGAAAATGATGGAAGCGCCATTTTTAAAATTCGGCTTTTTACCTTTAGGTATAGAAGAATAGAAGATTAATAAAGGAAAACACAGCCGTTTTTTATTATAACTGACTACCAGAAAGTTATTTTTTCCGAATTGACGCAAAATTTTCCGAAGGACATAAATCATTGGGGAAGGGGTGTCACACCCTCTACACCCACCTCGCTAAATCCGTCCCTGTCTAAAACTGCTAAATTGAAGATCGCCAGGGCACTGGAAACAAATCATCTTTAAAGTTTTAGGCACAACCTGAGTTTTCTAGTAAGTGCTACCCAACTTGTTTGGAATTTGCTTATAATCAGAAATCGCCAAGAAAGCAAAGGCTTTAAGAATCATAGTCAGCTTCAACTTATGGTTTCTTTTCTGCCATTTTTACTTGTAAAATAAAATATAATCTATTTCATCTTATATACAATGGTACCCAGGGTAGGTAAACATCATCATCCACCAAATTGGAAAATTGATTGTAAAAGCAGTACATACAGTCAGAATTTGATTAAGCAATTTCTTGATATTTCAATTAAATTTAGTTCTGTTTATTTCATTTTAAAATTCTGCTAAATGCAAATGCCACTAAAATAATTACACAGTATATCAAAGTAACAAGTTACAAAAAGGGAAACAAGCTAACAAGTTTATACGGGGACTCATATTCAGGGAATTTCTTGAAAGAAGGAACTCTCTCAACAGGTATACTAATCAAGGAGAGAGCACCCTCTTGGCTAAAAACCAAAATTTGAAAATGATTTGCTAGGCCAATATCAAGAGCGCATTAGAAAAACACTTTTATGGGAAGGGCATTTTTGCCCCCTTGCTCCCTTTCTCAAAAAGAGAACAAAAAGAGCATTTTCCCTTCAATGGGCAGCCATGGCTTCTCTTCTATAGCAACAGAAAATATTCGATGGCTTGTAATTGTTGGTTATTCCATAGCAGTGCCGTTGGAACGAAATTCATATTGAGGGGTTTGTCCATTGTATTCCTTCTCACTCAGTAAACTGTTTTAAAGGAAATATACTACAGTTTCACAATTGTTGGGTTCCGATGAGGCTGCATAGTTTAAAGATTGTTACTATAGTTACTTCGAAAGCTATTCTCTATCTGAAGGGCCTAAAAAATTTATAACTTGCTTGTATCAAAACAGAATCAGTTTGTTACTTTTTTTGCTCTAAGTTTGAAGAAATAAGTTTCTGAGTCAAATATATTGCCTGGCTATGCATTATTGATATTTTTCTATAACTTCTCAATAAAAAGTAGAAAAAGTCAGGCAATGTTTTCCCATCCAGAGAACTGTTTCTCTTTATCAAGTTACGTAATACAGCAAAAAGCTATAAAGTAAACCCGAGTTTGGTTGATATGTATGCATTGCATTGTCCAGTTCAAGATAAAATGGACACAATAATAAGATAATTCGACCAAGATAAACATTGATAGTAATAGAAATAACAAAATTTAACGATAATCAGAATAAAAAATAAGTTTAAATTTCTCATAACCTGCCCACCCCCAATTCCGTATTTCCTCAGATATCTCCAGCGTAATTGATTCTGACATTTGTGTGATTAAAACTTGGCTACAGTCTTTTAAGTCACGTTTTGTTGGAAAATTGGTCTTCTGGCGATGCAATTTGCACCCACTACCCTCCTCCTCAGCATCATCAAATTCGTAGCAACGATGGAAAAAAGGTGACGCTTTGAGAATCATTTTTAGAACTTTGAATTTTAAGCACATGATTTGAAAGAACACCATGATATATTTCGAAATGAGCAAAACCAGCTAGATTTGCTACAGATTGTCTAAGTTATTATCACATAAACACAGGCTCTTGCCCAGTCAAGGCAATTAAGCTTTAATCTTTCAGAAAAATTGTGAGACAGCATTGATTTCTACCCCCCTCCAAAAAAGCAAGATTGTTAGCGTGCAATATTATCGTAGGATGTTCAGTCCCAAAAAAATTGTTTGATGAGGAGAGGGGAATTACAGTTAATGCAATGTCGTTTAAGTGAATAAAAAAAGTGTTTTTGAAAAAACCTGGAAAAAATATACCAATGGACTAGGGTTTATTATAGGGGATTTTTATTACGAATTTTGGTGTTGCCTTTTGAAAAATTTTTATGACCACACCTATTAAACTAACTGCATGTGAAATTATTGAATTACACTAGCTCTCACCAAAGCTTTACAAGTGATTTCGACGAGAAAATGTGGCCAAGGTTTAAACATGTTTTTGAGAACAAAGATCTCAAAGGAGAAGATGAAGAGCAAAACATGCTATACAGCTTCTAGTTATAGCCTTTTCCAAGGGAAATTAGATGCGGGGGCAAACCCTTGTTTAAATAAGAAAGGGACAATGGCCTATTGTTTACGACAATGGAAAGCCACTTGGGCTGCAGAGGTAATTGCCCCCTTAGTACGTATTTAAAAAAGGCCCTGAGTTCTAGTTAATGAATTCGATGAAAGATTAGAGAGATTTCATATGATAATTGTTAATTGTTACTGTTATGTTCTCGTTTTGAATATTGTAATGCTCTTCTATAAGCTTCATGTTTCTACTGATAGTTATTGCAATTTTTTTTATCACTAGCAAATCTTTTTTTGCAGTTTTATCACTGCACAGAATTTGAGTTTATAATTCTACAATTAAGATTTACCACTGCACAAATAGGTTATCATTGCACGTTGAAATAAACGCTGCAATGGACACTAGTCTCTATATGGTTCTAAAACTTATGAACCAGACCAACAAAGCAGTAATATACTAGCATTATAGAGTATTTCACTTGCCATGCCTCAGCCAATTTCATCAGATATAACTGATATTTTATATTTGTAGGCATTTCATAATGTTTTCCTGGACACCTTTTCCCTCCTGCCTCTTCTCTGTGATATAACTCTCATTATCCTTCATTTCTAAAGATCTTTTCCTTGGGGCTTTGCTTGGGTATGAAATACACGCTAAAACAGTATATCTCATTCTGTATTCGTGTCATTGTGGATTCATGCCTTAAAGTGTTGTTCATCTCCATTTAAAAACAAATTCTCTCTGACTTGAAGGTGACTCAAAAACACCTTGCGTTATGGTTGTAAACCTTTTTTAGTTGGTGATGTTAGGCAAAAGCTCAAGTACCTATAGCTAAGCCCAAACAATGGAAAGGGAGGAGGGATTAGGAAAAGAGAGAGGAAAGACCAAGCTTATCTATTTTTGTTTTAAATATATACAGACCTACTAGTTATATATAACAAACTGAAAGGCCGCGGAAGCAAACTGTTCGATGGACTCCAGAAGAATACTTGCGACGAAATGTTGACAATAAGAAACACTGCATTACACCGAGAACAAACGCCAAAATCAAAAATAACATTTCGCCCAAGCATACCTACTGTAGTAGGATTAATACTTTGTTTATCACTCTATTGTTGTAATTGCACATGCGCACTGTAAATAGTATAAAAAGTCTTGTTATTGTAATGAAGGGGAAGTTGTTGAGTTTTTGTTGAATGATAAAGATATTTGTGTGTTAATAATATGGTGAAAATTACAAAGTTGAGTCTACGAGTCCCTTGTGACGTCATTGCAGAAGGCTTTCACAACAGCAACATCATTCTTGCTCGACTTGTTGTTGCGGTTGTTTTTGAAGAGCCGTGAAACATAATAACAAATTCATGGACATCGGATCTTATTGGCACATTTATTAGGAAGAAACATTTATTAGGAAGAAATAATGCTTAAATGGTTAAGCAGCCCACATATTTATCGTAGAGTAAGACTGAAAAAGGATAGGCTTCTTATTCTAAGAGATGTATCTAACAAATCAGGTGCGATGCGACCTTTCATCGCATCAAATGCCCAGGCAATAAAAGGCAAAGAACTCTGGTTTTGGAGAGTGCAAACGTTTTCTCCTCTCTTCTCGTCTTTAAAAAAGGTATTTATCTTAATTGTTCTGAAATTACAAGAAGCAACTGTATGGCTCTAATTCGAATTTCAATTATTCCCTAATTCCATTGGTCAAATATTTAATTTGCTATATAAAACATTGAACTGAAGAATGAAAATATTCAAAATTTTCCAAACGATTTAAGAACTCTCGTATAAAAATGTTTCTCTTCAAATGCTTTTTCAATTCTGAGCTTAAGTTAATCTGCAATCGATTGACATTAAATTAATGTGAATGAATTTTTAAATCTGATACATTTATATGGCAATAAAGAAGACGGGTTAGATTTTCTGATTTTCCTCTGAAAGAATGATTTTTAATTTCAGTTCAACTTTTTTGGTGAACACCAGCCTGTACAAATTTTTGCACACAACAGCACAACAAGGTAAAATATAAGGTTTTTGTTCAAATCATCAGTATTTGTATTTATTTTTTGTTATTGTTACTTCATAAATAGGCAGTAAGTTGGTTCTCATTTGGCAATTAGATTGTATGATTGCTGTTTGAGTACTTGCCAGCATTCGAATACAGAATGTTTGACTGGCAATCCAGGTTGGAAGACATGTATGATCTTGCCACACAAGCAAAAATATATTTAGTATGGCTGCGAGCATATCCAAATTTTCCAGCCTGGCTGTCAATGGACAACCTTACTCTGTTTGTATTGCATTGTATAGATTATTTAATGTGGTTTTTACAATAGTGAATATACACTAAGCTAATTCATTATAAGAAACTGGCTATAAGAAACGAATACTGGATAGTCAGAAAAAATTAAGAAACTTCAGTACTCGAAGCAAAAAAATTAAGAAATTATTAAATCGTGATAAAACTGAGAACAACGACATTTTGTAAAATCCAGGAACATGATTGCTCTGATGGCCTAGAACTTAAGACACAAGAGATAAAAATATTTCCACATCTAAATACAGCGTCAGAACGGAAGCGAATCTCTTGACGTGTTAAAAAGGGTCACAAACATAATATCTTTCATGACATCATAATTAAGAAACTCTTAAGAAACAATGAGAATTGAATTTTCCAGAACATTTAGAAACTGGAGTACTCAACATTGACCTTTGTTTCGTATAAAAAAATGAGTGTAATTAAGACTAACATGGAGCAATTTCAAGGATTGCATAAGACAGTTCATTTACTGCAAAACAAGCATGCACAACTGTTTTCAAAGAACCAAGTTTTAATAAAATTCTTAAATTATCTAGTATTTTGCGCTTTCTTTATTGATTTCAGGAGTGAATTCCAGATTTCAGGCCCCTGAAAACTTAATGATCTCATACCGTTATTGGTAGTTCTGGCTTTTGGAATGTCAAGAGAGTTTTTGAGTCGAAGGTTGTGACCTGTTGTTTTAGGTACAAAGTAAAGTATTTCATGAAAACAGGACTAAGGCTGTTAAGTGTTTTATAAACTTGAACAATGAGAATCTTGTAAGTTGTCATTGGCACCTTCTTGCTCCCTTCCTACATTATTTCCTTCCAACTTAATTGTTTTAATGATTCAGAAATTAATTTGTGTCCAATCAGTTCCATCAACACAGTATAGTTGAAAGCTCTCTAATCAACAAATGTTTTCAGGGAGAGGGGATGTTAACTGAAAGTAATTTTAAAATGGCAATCTTTCTTTTAATACCAGTAGAGTTATTACTGCTAGAAAGTATCTGGTGTGATATCAACAAAAATCTAAACATTTTGGCACATATAAATTTTTAATTGAGGCCATTTTTTTATGAGCAATATCAAGGTTCCATTGATGTTTGTGTTTTGTGAATTAAAAATTATTCTCACATAGCGATTTTTATTAGTAAAGGAGTAGCATATTGCCAGGGTTTTCATAAATCTTTAAGTAGAAGGCTCACATTTAAAAGTAGGCATCTATATAAGTTAACCAAAGTGTGTGCATTCTTCAGGGCGAAAGTAGGTGACAAAAGTTTGGTGAATAAACGGCTGACTTTTGCCAGTGGCTGTCTTCTAATGAAATCCCTGTATCTTAGCTTTAATCTTATCCCTCTGTTTGTATTTTTAGCCAACTGGGTGCATTCAACTATGAAGAAATTGCAAATAATACTTTAGAATTACTTGCAGAGGTTTTTGAATCAGTGGCAGATGAGGGCTCTTGTCCTGATGATTATGATGTCCAATTATCGGTTTGTTTTTCTTTCTGAAAATCTTATTTTTTAATATTGCGATTTCCAGCCTTAGTATTCCTTTACACTATGTTCTTTTAAAAAATGTGCTTATTATTCTACGAAATACTCTAGAATCTAAACAGTTTCCTATAATTTATATTCCTATTATTTACAAGATTTCTATAATATTATAAGGCATATAAGATTGTAAATCTTATATGCCTTATAATATTTGTTTTTCATTTTGCCTTTCTGAAAATCTTATTTTTTAAGCTAAACAATATCTCCTGTGTGTGATATTCTATTAGTTTTTATTAATATTCAGAATTCAGAATATTAGTATATTTAGCTGTCAGGCATAATATGATTCTAGCATTTGCAAGTGTATAATTTCTGCAAAGGCAATGATGCAATTATTGGACTATATGGTTACTTTTTTATTAAGAAGAAGTCTACTATCAAACTAGTATTAGAAAACTTTTTGTTTTGAAGAATATGTGTAAAATTTTAGCTTATTTTTTCAAGTATGCGGTAACAATCAACTGATACCTTTCCCCACCGTGGCCGAGTGGTAGGCAAGTGGAGTCAGATGCTCCTCCCTATTGGCAAAAAATATCTTTGAAAAAGGGTGTTCTTAACTGTTCCAAAGTGTGTGGACCACATTTTCTCTTGCTAAACTTACCTTTGCCCCCAATCTTACCATATTGGCTACACTACTGCTCTCCGCATAAGGGTCAATTACTCACGATCCTGCTGCTGCTGATTTCTTTGAAATTTAAATCTAGCTATTGTTGCTCCCTCCCCTATGCTTAAAATTGTAAAGTATCATGGAACTTTAAACTGGGACAGCTGGAATAATATTCATTAGTACTGAAATTATTGCTCTTACATGTTTTCATATTTTTGATGCTGTGGCCATAAATAAAATCGCCAAAATTTGCTGTACCCAGTACCTAGTAATCTTAGGACCTATGAAACCAACTGAGTTCAAGTTTAGGGACATACAATGCCTGCCAAAAGTCTTATTTTAACACTGACATCAATTCCAAGGTCAAAATCAATCACCCCCCTCTCCCATACAGAACAATGTTGGTTTACTATCAAACGGGTTGGGATTTTAGGAAGCACTTTCCTTTGCTTCCTAAAATAGATATTTCTCTAAATCATCAACATTGTTTTAGGGGGAAGGGGGCGGAAGTAGTAATTTTTTTTCACGAAAGGAATGAAAGATATCAAAGGTAGCGTAAATTGCTGGGTGTTCCAAGTACTTTTGGCAGGCATTGTAGCTTTCCTTGCACATAGTTTCTAGAGCCACGATTTTTTTCTCTATTTACAGAGAATAATGTTTTGACATCTTGATTCTTTCGAATGGATTTATCATAAAGGCTAAACAATCAGAAAACCAGATTTCAGTTTGGTGCCACTTTTTTCTTGCGATCAAAGCTCCGATCAATTCTCCGAGTCTAGTTATTTTACAAAGTTTATTTTGGCATTCAGTGTCCTCGAAAGAGCTCACTTGATCTCTTAAATGACGATCTTGGTCCAAATAAGGCGAACCTCTTTCTTACTGGCTAATTTAGCTCCACTTACGGAAAAAAACTGGGCGTGGTGGCCTGTTTCGATTCCAGGTGTTACTATCTTGGGACCTGCGATTTTTGCACGATCGGCTGTCAATTTTCACGTTGTTTTCAACTATAGCAGTCGCATCGCTCCACTCCCCCGCATTGCTGTCAAATATTCGATCAGCTAAATCCCAAAAGGACTCTTTTTCCGCGCTAACATGAAATTACTCGGTAACCTTGTTTATAATTCAGCTGCTTTTCCTATTTTTTGGAATATGCTTTCCGGGTTATATAATGTTATCACTGGTTATGTAAGCTTTCAAAGATTATAATGTTTTTCACAAAGAGCTATATCATTAGGCTTTGAGTTTGATGCTACCATAAAGAATATGGATTTTTATTTCTTATTAAACTGACACGCTACAAACGACACATTTTTCAAAATCGCCAAACGCTTTATACGTTGGTCAATGTTTGACAACAAACTGTCGATTTGCACCCAGAATGCTTTTTTGTCCCATCGCTATTTCTACCACACAGCTAATTCTTACACTTTATGTTCAGCAACGAGTTGATTAACAAGTAGATAGTTAATCACGTCCTATAACAAATTGGGAACTTATTTGCAAACACGAAAAAGACTATAGTCTGAAGGATATGAACCACGAATGAACTGAGGATCACATAGCGATGATTTTGTTTATTAAGGAACTTATAGTTTTGAACTTGTATTTATTAATATCGAGCTTCCATAGGTAGTTTTAGGACACTGAGAAGCTAGGGTTATCGAGCAGTGATTTGGAAGGGCCGTTGCTACGGAGGATGGGTGGAAGGGGTGTGGCGCCCCCTTGGAAAAAATTTCATTGTATAGGCGAGGAGGTTTTACCATCAAGGGTTGCTTCCTCGGCAAATTTTCAGATTCGTCGGCAAATAAAGGATGGCTCATCAACTTTGTCGGTAAATGGAATCGGGGCAGCCCCCTTAAGCACAATAGCTAGCGACAGCCTTGTTTCCTGGTCCTTCATCTCGATGTGACAATACCCCGTGATTCGTACGCCTGGAATTATAGAGAGCTAGCGACTCTTCTCACTCTAAGTAAAAGTGTGGTCCTGCCAGGGACTCCAACCTTAGGCCCTTGGATTTGTTGTCCGCCACCTTAACTAACGAGCCATGCTCACACTAAAGAAAGGATAAAGAAAAACCAACTGCGTATACGAAAAATGTTCATGGTTTCACGCGTCTTAGCAATTCTTAGACTTCGTAAACTCGAGACCATAGGAGCTGTGTTGCATTCTCTTTGCTTTTGATAATGAGTTTCAACTGAATAGAAATCACCATTTTAGTCAATTTTTGTTTCAATTCACAACTACTATTTATGACGGCTTTTTTTTTCTAGAATGGAGTTCTGACAGTAAACATCGGAGGTTTGTAGAAATTTTTATAGGCCATTTATTCGTTTGATATTGAAAAGCCTATGCTCTTGTGGCCATGTCTCCACTGATTTCGATTAAATTTAGCTGATTTCGCAAATCAGGAGGTATTTCATCATGCTTTTTCAGTACATGTGATCCAAATTGATAGAAATAGATTTTGTGACATCATTACCTAAAATTTCTATTAAGAGCACATTTATCGTGTCGAAAATTTCGTTAATACAGTTAGCAAATAATTTTAGTACCAGAATGAAAATATAATAGTTTGATTGTTAAAAACACGACGTTTCGAGCATGTACTCGTTATCAAGTATTCTGGATGAAGTACCACACGCAATGTACATATCCAAAATTTCGTACTTCTTTACTTTTTGGAATCCGTTAGAATTATAAAAGCCAAGATCTCTCTCTGAAAAGCCAAGATCTCTCTCTAAGGTCTTTGTAAAGCTTATGTCTAGATTTTTATTTTTCTGTTGACAATTTGCCAATTTATTTTCCAAAAAGCTACCTTACTCCCGTTTATAAGCCAGGGTTAAGTTACCAGACTGATTCGAAGAAGGGAAATTTGGGAAATTTGGGATATTGACTGTCAACAACAACAAACGCATATGGAATTTCAAAAAATACTCAGAGAGTAGTCAAAATAATCAGAAAGTAGCCTGAAGAATACAAGGAAAAATGTCCAAGGAATTATTTGTAGGCTTCCAATAATCCTAAATTCCAATTGATCAATGACGATAAAAAATTATGCAATGATCGGAATGGTCAGATAATGAGAACACTTCAGCTAAAGTTAATGGACATAAAAAAGATCAGTTTGCACTCAAAGTGATAAAGAATCATGATTTTAACAAAAAATTCATTGTTATTAATTACAATCAATTTCAGGGAGCCATTTGCTCCTAGCCTAAAGTTACTTCTCTTATTTATTTTATTTCTAATCTTCCTTGTTTTTAACTGTATAAATTTATATAAGACTTTCTACCTGTTTTTAAATGAAAATGTCGCCATTCCGTTGTGTTTCCATATAGTCATCACGACATCAACGACAACGATAGATTTTTGACTGAAAATGCAACCTTCTAATAACGCCTTCCAGTGTGAAAATGTTTGAAAATGGAGGATTTTTACAGTCTTGCCCTTTGAAACGCAAAATTTCTGATTTGTTTCTTTAAGATGGAAATTCGATGTTTTAGTGTTTAGTTTCCTTAGCCGATATTTTTTGGCAAGGTCTGAGAGTGTTTTCTCTAATATGGTTGGAATTCGACTATTACTCATAAGTTTCATTGCTTAATAATTAGTTCTTCCTAAAGGTATTTTTAAAACAAAGCCCAGTTAGATGTTCAAAGGCAGTCACAACCAATTTACCAAAGTGTATCTAAATTTAAGAGATTTGTAATGAAAGATAGAAAACAGATTTTGAACCTGTCGGAATTTTATAAAGGTTTCTGAAAATTTTGCCAAGCTGTTAGTTTTTTGTAGTTTTGAAATTCCAAAAATAGTTGGGTATTAACGGATTCCCGCCAAAATTGCGTGCAGTGGTCAGTGGTTGAATAGTTTCCATTGGACCCCTGTGTCTAATGAGCCATAATCATGACGTCGCATGAATCGGTGTGGCGGCAAATTTACGAAGCGACGATCGCAATGGCATGACGCGATGTCGAACTAAAACCTTGATCGTATATTTACTTTCCTTTTAACTTATTTTTTCTACGCACTATTTAAAACATTGCTTAGCCCTGACTATGGATCTAAGAATCCTGAATCAAAGTTCGTAATCCTAAATCAAATCTCGTAAACAAACAGAGTTGATTTTCCAGTTGTGTATTAGAACTGGGGGGAGGAGCGATATGAATAAACTTGAATTATCTTAGACTTTTGTTGTACAAATGAACAGCAATGTTTTCATGATATTTGAACGAAATTTCGTTCACTTGCAATTTATCCTAAAGCCCCGAATCATCATTGAAGCTAGACGCAAAAAAGAATCATTTCAAGCCGTTAAGAAAAAAATCGTAGTTTGCAACTGGCAAACAATTTGGTTCCGATAAATTGTTTATTTTAATAACTCCATTTTTTCACTAAAATTTACAGATAAAATCAAATAAATCGATCGATTTCTTTAGCTTCTTGTGTCCTATAGCAATTTTTTCGTACTAACCAAGGCATTTCATTTTTCGCAATTTGTGAGCCGATTTGAAGCGCGGTATAAAGGATGCACTTAGCAGAGACTAGACGGAAGAAGTATACATTATTTGTTATCATGCGTCAGGTAAAAACGCATAAACGTAACCAAAAATCCATTAACACATAGGAATAAATTTTCAATGCTTGAACCTAATGCGATTCAGCCACAGGACAATATTTATTTGGGGATTCAAAGCGCGCCAAAACATTCTCTGTCGAAAAATTGTGACAGCTCGGCCTTTTCTTCTACGTTGCTCCCCTGCCTCGCAATATATATCCATAGTGAATTTAACAATACAATTAATATTTGTTTTCATTACCATTTCGATTCTTTAAAGAGGGTATTTGTATTTGAGTGCCGATCTTTATTAAATCTTCCATTTCTAACTAAAATATACTTGCAAGTAAATTACAAATTAAAAAGGTCATTTGGAAGCTAATCCATATGTTCTGGGAATATATGATTCTAAAATAAAATTAAAGAAGAGAAGAGTTTAGAATATAAGTTTGTTTACAGCAGAGCTCAAAGATAGTAGGCATCTTTTTATTTTATTTGAAAAAATTAAGGAGAATCCCTGCAATAATAATCACTGTTTGCAAGAGGCCCTTCAATAAAAACGTACCAATGTATTTTAAACTTCACAACTAAAACCTAATTGCAATTTGTCTGCAAATTATCATAAAAATTTTATCAGCATTAATCTCAGTTTAGATTTGATTTTTGAAATTGATTTAGATATCTTTGCATTTCAATTCAACTTAAAGAAAGAAACGAAAAGGGAAAGTAGGAATGCGCCAGAAAGAGGAAATATTTTTAGAGAAGCAAATGATGCTGGGAATTTTAAGCTTTGAGATGGAATAATTACAGAATAAATACATAGGTGAAATCACAATTCAAAGAAACAAATAAAATTGTTTACAAGAGTTCGTTTTCTTTCATCCCTTTTTCTGTCTATGACACGGATGAGGCTCCTATGACTTGGAATAAGCATAAATTAGACCACGAGACCGGCGAGTCTTCCCAGCAGCGCTGCAGAAAGCCTCTTGCTAATTAAGCATCAGTTTCGTACTTTCCTGTTGATGTTCCAGTTATTCAGAGATAGCTCGAGTCAAAGCTGCTAGCGATTTTGTTAGTCGCCATGAAATGCTGCGACCGCTTGCTAACTGAGTATGTGAAGCCTCGTTTCTGCTTGCTGCTTCATTCGGTTAGAGGTTTTTGGCTGCACAAAGACCAAATATGGTCAAACACTTCACCCCATGTGATGCAGATTTGATGTTAAGTGGGCAATGATTGGATTTAGGCCTATAAAGGGCGACGCCGTGAGAGTTTTCTTCACTCTGCGCTCCTGACAAGCAAGACTCAAGACATCTCTAAGCAGCAAGAAGAACAGAAGCTACAAAGTTTACGATGGCTCGTAAAGTTGCAGCGAAACGATCAGCAGCAAAGCAAAAGATGCCATACGATGCAATGGTTCGCCAAGCAATCGCAGCGCTTGGTGACAAAAACGGCTCATCCGCGCAGCAGATTGCGCGTTACATCGCCAGAAACTTCAAGGTCGGATCTGCGCACGCCGCTAATATGAAAATGGCACTAAGAAGAGCAGTCAGGGCAGGCAGAGTCGTACAGAGCAACGGACGCTTCCGCTTAAAGGTAACTGGTGGAGCGAAGCCCGCCGCTGCAAAGAAGAGAACGCTCAAAAAGCGAGCAACAAGACCAAAGAAAACATCAGTGAAGAAGATGAAGCGAAGCGCACGAAAATCAAGGAGTGCCGCACGAAAGGCCCGCAAAGCTGTTAGCAAGAAGAGACGCACAACGCGCAAAGTCAAGAAAATCGCACGGAAACCAGCAGCGCGAAAACCAGTCGCTGTCAAGTCGATGCCAAGACGCTCGTCAAAAAGAAGTGCCGCGAGGCGTGCCAGGGCAGCAATGCGAAGCTGCTATTAAGAACAAACGAACAATTTTGTCGTAACCATCAATGTATTATCCGTGTTGTGAAATAACATTAACGAATACCATCATGAACCGTTACTGAAGCTGCGAAATCGTCTTCTTTATTCGATCTTCTCTCCGATAGTTATCTGCCATTTTGTATTTTATTCCGACGTCATAAGTGTCCTGTCGCTTTGCTAGGCTTATAAGTTACTAATTTGACGTCTAATTCAAACTCAAAAGGGATTTCTTATTTGTCTCGTAAAAGAGGCTGGTGTCTCGTAATAAAGAGAGATTAAAGAGAAGTAAGCTCGCCCTTATCAGGTAACCTCGAACCAAAAATGCTTAGAAAGAGGCTTTTATCAGTGATCAAACGATGCTGGATAAATTATCGCCATAACCTCGCTCCTGAAATGCACAGGCAGACTTTAACTGTATGCCAGTTCACGTTTTACTTTCATATTCCATATTCATAGGTCACCGTAATAATAAGGGAAGGTCTCAGGCATATGCCCTTGTAAGATGTGTTACGCCACCCAATTACTATTTGGAGAGAGGCACAGTGGCATCCAAGCCCTATTCCTAAAGTTTAAACACTCCCTATCCCCTCCTTCCTTTACAATGTTGCTGAATTTCAATATGGTCTTAAATAAAGAATCTATTTAATAATATCAATATTTTTTCAAAACTTAATTAATTTTCATTTTTAATAACACAACTGTAAGCCTCATAATATTTTGGCAATTGCAATTGGCTAACCTTGTACAGTGGAAAAAGCAAACATACACGTTAAACTGTTTAAAACTTTTTTGGTTAAGCAAGAACAAGGTGTACATGTAGTACGAAAAATAATATTAACAATAACAAGAGTAATAATTCTGTGGACACAAAACAGTGCTTCAGCTACCTAAAATACAATCTTTGCACTTAATACATCGATTACCGTTGAATTTTGAAAGAAAACAACCCATAAAATTCTGTTCTTCCTGGGTTTCGTGGTTGTGATTGAACTGACACATTGCGTGAATTTCTAAAGATATAATTGTCAATGTTCGAGGGACTAAAACTTTAGCAGCAGCTTTTAAAGCCTGCATTAGCTGAAATATAGTCGAACGGAGGCACAGTTCTTAACCAAAATTGTGGAAACACCACAATATTCGCATTTGTGGCTTTTTTTTACCATATACAGTAATTTTGGCCAGGGTTATAGCGTAGTAGTTTGTTACGACGAAAGCACTTTTGTTGAAATTTGATTCAGCTGTACATTGATTCCTCTTCCGCCTCAGAACTTAAACTTTACAGTTTCACTTGCTTTTCAGCTTTCGTTTTTCGCCTACTCAGGATTAAGAAAATTTTCTCCTTCTACCAACGATAGAAACTTAACCTTTCTTCTTTGTACATGTAGTATTTGCCCTGTGTTCTCACGTCTTCTTTTTGTAATAATAAGCTTAATGACACAGCTTTCGTTTCTGAATTGGTAAATACGTTTTGTGTCTACATAGATTTGCTATGTAGCTTTTAAACAAACATCCTGGATAAATTCCCGTTTCCATCAATCAATAAAGCCAATATGTCTTTGTTCAAATCATCTTTCAATTTGCTGTAAGCTTTCCTCCACTGACTAATAACATTGCGTCTTTTTAAGGGGACTGGGGCACGTACGTCATCAACAAGCAATCACCGAATCGCCAAATTTGGTTATCTTCTCCAAAAAGGTATGCGCCCTTTAGTTTATTATCAGCATGAAAATTGATCCAAATTCCCTGAAAAAGGGGCTGTCTCCTTGTTTTCCAAACACGAAAAGTAAAGGTGACAATCAGGATTTGGGACCACAAAAGCGTACGACGGTTGTGCCACAGAAACAAAGGGACATGGAATCTGCCAAATCAATCGACTGTGCCTTTAAATGCATTGACCAATAAATGCAGGGAAAAGGGACAGGAGCATCTCGAAATATACAAACTATTTCCTTTTCTATCGAGAAATTTTAGAAATATTTAATTTCATATTTAATACGATACAATCAGGGATGAAGTTTCACATCCATTCGGCCCCTAGAAAATGATGGAAACGCCTATTTTTCCATTTCCATTTTGAACTCAATGTCTGAAATCTCTGTTTTTGATCACATAAATCATCAACCTAAACACTGAAAAATCATTTATTTAAAAAGAGAAAGAAGATAAGATAAATGAAGAAAAATCTTGTCATCATTTAGTGACTACTGTCTACCAAAACCTCTTTCTACCGAATCAAATCAAAACTTATTGAATGTTGCACCCCGACAGCCCCCTGTAAATAAATCGAATCGAAACGTCGCCGGTATCCGTTTACAGGCCGTGGAGCGAGGATACGTCGAAGAGACGGTCAATCGCCCTGTTACTGTTTTAATGCCTAGGATCAGAAGAGGTTTTATCGTAGAAGAAAACTTTTAATCTTTTTTATGAACAGGAAAATCAGGGCAAATAGGAAAAACAAAAGAGATTGAGCGTTTTCATTAAGTTGAGCTGCCCTTTGTAGCGAAGATTAACAGGCTAACTGGATGTGATTGCAATTTTGTGAATCATTGATAATTCGTGCCATATTCATGAGATGAAACGACGCAGGAATGGTGCCTGGAATTTGAGAGCCTTCGCAACATAACCATCTAAGCATATACTTGTAATACAACGATGATTCTTTCGTATAAGGGACCTCCAGAAAAAACTATGATTGTCCCACACAAGTCCGTTGTTTAGTCAAAGTCTCGTAGAATCAGCCTCTAGAAAACTGCGGTTTAGGTCCTCGGGAGGGGGGGGGAGGGGGATACCTTAACATGTTTGAAGGTACTAGGACGTGCCATTATTTAGGGATACTTTTTTCTGAAAAGTGCGGAATTATCGGTATCAGTTTTTGAAATACGGGCGGAACTGTGAGTACCATTTGAAGAAACATGCAGAATTATGGGTTCCATTTTGGGAAAATATTGCAAAATTATAAGGAGGGATATTTAGCATTAACAAAATGAGTGACCAATTAGAAATAAAACTATGAAATCTGTATAATATTGAGATTTTGGGGCAAAAGACATGCAAAATGTTTTTAATGATTTTTATGTGCTTTAAAAATTTTATTTGCTTTGCGGAATTATGGGTATAGTTTTCATCATGTTTGCGGAATTATTGGTCACATTTTTTCAGACATTTGCGGAATTATGGGTCCACATTTTTAACCAAAACGGCACGCCCCCGTCAAAAATTAGGCTTAGTTTACCCCCCGAGTTTGGGTCCCACAGGAGTCCGTTGTATTGAGATACAATTTCGATCGGAAATCCTATTGTTAGTTTATTCAACCAATGTTTATCACCTTCTTTAAATAAATCGAATCACCATCACTCCATTAATTAAACTTTTACTCCGGTTTTCTGCTTTTGTAAAAATTTCCATCTCTTTGACGTCATTTCTGTTCTCGTCCCAGTCCTTTTTACCCTATTAGACAATTTCATCTAGATAATATCTGTTGGAAGCAAGCTATAAGCGTTTAATAACGTAAAGATTTTTATTATTTTTCTCTATAGTGAGTAGCAAGGATGAGATCACGTTTTTTATATCCAATATAAAATTTTACAATTACAAGCTACTTACTATACTAAATAGAATCTACTTGATTACACCACAAAGACGATATCACGGAGTGTAAGATACCATGACAACTCCGCAGCCATAAACATGAATGACACGTAACAGAACACAATTAACAGAACACAACACGGCTACAAGAAATATACATAAATGATTTTTACTAATTAATGCTTGGTTTTGTTTCATTTTGTATTCCTGTCATGATCTCATTTTCTCATCCTCTGTACTGTAACATTGTAAATAGTGTAAGCGAAAAGGTTCTTTTTATATCAATTATAGATAGATAAAAAACACTTTATTTTGCCAAGCGTAGAGGGATGGCGCCAGAAGAGAAATGCTGGGGGCTGTAATGTCAGAGTGCCGACAGTGAGTGAACCACCCACAAAGATGTAATATAACACCATTTCTGCTGTGGTGATTCTAGTTCAAAAAATGAAAAAAAATTGAAAAAAAATCAAACAATCAAAAATAAAATCACGAAGTAAAAGTTAGGAAAGTGCCGACATTGCTTAAAATTTTTCAAAAAATGAAGTGCCGACGGGGGGCTCAATGAATTTTTTGGGGGGCTCCTGCCCCTTCCCCCCCAAGCACCCCTGGTGGCGCCATCCCTACTTGCGTGTAAAATGTAAAGCCTGATTTACACTAGACGAATTTTTTCGTGCGAATTTTTCGCCGCGAATGCGCAAAAAATATGCGCAGAAGTGGAGATTAGAAAATTCGCAGCGAATTCGCTGCGAATAATTCGCTACAAAAAAGTAGAAACCATTCCTACTTTTTCGCTGCGAAATTGTTCGCCTTGTAAAATAAACCAATCAAAACAGCAATTGATGACAGCTGACACAAACCAACTAGTGAACAAGAGAGAAACACTCTTTTCACAACAAATCTTTGTCGTCGACGTGAAGATGCTATGCAATGTAAACATATCTAAATCAAAAATATGCAAAAGGACAGAAAACTACGCAATGGTACAAACAACAACACGGGTGAAGAATGAGTAACCTATGACTAGGCCTAAACAATGCTGGGAAAATCCCGCACCTATAACATAAACAATGGAAGGGGACGTTTCTAGCAACAGGCGGCTTTGGTGCAATTAACGATAAAAGCTCCTCATATGTAGTTGGCGAAATTCGAAAGTATTTATTCCTGGTCATGTAAGCGTAAGTCCCTTACCAAAAGATGAAACTCCCCCTTCTGCAGACGTTCTGAATAAATCTTTGCTTTTTTGCTCGCTTTTTTTTAATAACAACAATCTTCGAACAGACGCCATTTTCTTTGGCATTATTCGCGGCGAATTCGCAAAAGAAATTCTGCAAGTGGAAATTAAACTTCGTGGCGAAAAATTCGCTTCGCGCGAAAAATTCGCTTCGCGCGAAAAATTCGTCTCGTGTAAATCAGGCTTACGACGTCAAAAACACATTTGAGACGGAGTGGCATTACCTTCTTACAAGCATGAATCCTAGCAAGCAAAGGAGGTGCTTGCATTCAGCAAGATATCCTCTGGTTTTAATTGGCTTTATAATATAGGTTCACAAGTAATTGCGGTCCGATAGATAGAGGAACCAATTCTAATTTGCTTCTTCATAATCACATATCTACAATCGTGACCAAAGCGTTACTGGACTAGACAAAAAAGATTTTGATGATACCAAAACCCGTCTCCCTCACTGCAAGAGATGCGTTCCATCATTCAGAATGAGAAGAAATTAGCATATCAAAACTGCAAGTAGAGGGATGTAGGGCATTTTTCAACAAGACCACAATTTTGCAAGTTGGTACAATAACTTATTGTCACGGTTGTAGGTTTTATCTAGTAGTTTTTCCTTTTCTTCTGCCAAACCAAGGAATCGTTTTATGAAGCATGTTAATGCACTACTTCACTTGAAAATGGTAACATTGCTGTTTTTCTGATCTTAGCGGGCCTAAACGATACGATTTCATTGATGGTCACTGGATATACTCACACACTGGTGAAGATATGAGCGAGCTTCTAACAAGAGAAATATCCGATGCCTTTAGTCGGCGTATAGATTTTACTGCAATCGATTATGCTTCTAATGAATAAAAAAGAAATGGAATGTTGTTATAGTTGTAGTATTTTGGAATAGAGATAACAGTAAGGTTGCCTACGGTGAAGTGCTTAGCGTGCGAAATGGTGAAAAAATAATCAAGGGAGGTACAAAGGGAGGTGAGGGAGGACTATTGGAAGTTTATGCTTATTCTCTTCAATCCCTGTAAGCTCTAATTGTCAAGTTATCTTGCTTGCACAGACCCGGTCGGACACTTTTCTTCGAAACTTTATCCGGTTTTTTGCAATGCACGCCTTTGTGAGCGTTTTGTTAAAATTTTAAAAATGGCTTTGAAGAAACGTTCGTTTTCACCTTAGGACTCCAACGGTAACATTTTCAATAGGCAAGCGGCACTGATTGGTCAACCTATACAGTCATGTGCTCGTGTTTCTGATTGGCCTATTTCCATCCACAACTGGGTATATATATTTCCTAGCGTAGAGTTTTCTATCTATGTTTTGACGTTTTAAATTCTGAAGAGTGTCAGACGAAAAGCTTTAGTTTACTCAAATGTTTGCTTTTTTATGCCATTTTTTAAATTTTGTGCCACAAAAAGAGTGTTTAAAATATTTTTGAGAAATTTTTGCATGGGGGCCTATGTTATATACAGTTGACACCCGTCTCCAAAACCCGTTATCTCGACCATTTGTCTCTCTTCTCTCCCCCTTTCCTTTTTAGTATAGGTATAAAACCGTTCGCTATAACGATCGCCCGCTATTTCGTATAAACAACGTACATTCATAGAAAGTAGAAAAACCTATTGATCAAATCAAAGCAAATTAACATGTATTGTCAATTTTTTAGCTCAATCTTATAATGATTTAGGTAGATTATTCAATTTTTGTTAAGAGCTTTGAAAATAGCTGGCCTGAAAAGTGAAATTTTTGTAGTATTTGTTATATTATTTTTTTTTTGTAATTACTTTCTCTATTTGTATATCTTGTTCAGAATAACATTGAATAGAACGGGGTTGGTATTTTCAACGTGAGCGTTTATTAAACTGTATGCGGTGGTCATTGAGAATGTTCCCCAACGAGAATAATGTATCTGTAAGGCCGGATCATTTGTTGTTGTTGTTCCTTTTATTTTTGCGGTATATCTTGTATGGAAGTTCACATTGGTTGTGCCTGTTCTATTATTTGCAGATCTAAATAGGGTGATAAAATAAAACGATACAAGACTCTGATTCGTTAGACCAAAGTCAATTTAGGCCGTGCTTTTTTCAATGGCTCATTTCGATCCGAAGCAGGACGTGAAAAATGTAGCTTTATGACCGCGACCCGTTTACACTAGACACAAACAAATTAATCCGGATAAATTTGTCCACGCATTTACAGTAGACCTGGTCTATGCGAAAAGATTTTATTCACTTTTGAGGTAAGATCTGGACGAAATTTGTTCGTGCAAAAATTGAATTTTTCAAGTTCTGGAACAATTTCTTTTAGTGTAAACGGTTATTTTCTGTTTTATCCCATCAGTTTCTATCCACGTTTAGTCTAGGCATGACTATGGTCTAGGCGGCTCCCAGCAGACGGAGAAAGGCGAGGCGTGGCATGGTCGTTTTGCTTTTGTTGCACTATCGTTTGCGCAAGCTCCAAGATACGGTCTTGTGTAAACGCAGTCAAAAAGTTTATGACATTTTTCGACCCAGTGAAAAAAGGTCGCGTACAAAACAAAGTTCTTCGACCGGATAATTTCGAAAGTTTTTATCCCGATAACATTCTGTACGGCACAGACTGAACGTGGTGTAAATTATGGGAACTTTATTTTTTATGATGATTTTGACGATGGTTATGATGATTATGTTGACGATGCGTAGCGCGCGTGCATTCTTAATTCACGAGTGCGATTTTAATTCGCGGTGCATGTACTATACGTCTTACTGCTGAACTGTGGATCAAAATTACTCCCATTATAGCAACAAAAATAGCAACTATTTTTCGCCATCATACATGGTAACTGTGAGGTAATTCTTGACGCAAGAACGATTTCACGATCCTTTTCTTTCAGATCACTTCAAGGCCTGCTTGTGCTCTTTGAAATCTATTGGGAACTGTGCTTTTGTCTGTTCATTATCACAAATTTTGCTATGTTTGTTGCTCATGGCAACTGTGACCACTGAGGCTGAGTCCATCGGGCGAGGCTGGCCTCTCTTGTTGTTGTTGCCGCTAGGGGGAGGCCACCGGAGAAATCTGCGTGAATCTGACTCAGGGCTATCGTTTAGATTGTATTTTGTTTACAAATTTGTAGCCAGTAAAGAAATTGCCAATTGCGTCATTTCTTGTAATCGTTATCCGATCGCTGTGATTCATTAACTGGCTGACGTCCGGAGCGGTAGTGAACACACGACAAAACGCAAAACCTGGGGGTGCGCCGCGAACAACATATGAATTTAATTTCCAATAAATGTTTGAGGATCTTTAAATGCCTTACTAAAATAAAGTAAACAGTTTCCAGCGTTAAATGATCGTTCCTCGCTGTTGTTCTTACGCAAAGAACTGTGGCATTTTGAACTGTGTAAGCAGAGGTCATAGGCCCCACAACTTCCAGTAAGATGAATAGTAAGTTATTGATAATCACAATTTTTCTCCTCTACCCTACCAATGCCACCCTGCCAATGCCACCCTGCCAATGCCACCCTGCCAATGCCACCCTGCCAATGCCACCCTGCCAATGCCACCCTGCCAATGCCACCCTGCCAATGCCACCCTGCCAATGCCACCCTGCCAATGCCACCCTGCCAATGCCACCCTGCCAATACCACCCTGCCAATGCCACCCTGCCAATGCCACCCTGCCAATGCCACACTGCCAATGCCACACTGCCTATGCCACCCTGCCAATGCCACCCTGCCAATAGCACCCTGCCAATGCCACCCTGCCAATTCCACCCTGCCAATTCCACCCTGCCCATGCCACCCTGCCAATGCTACCCTGCCAATGCTACCCTGCCTATGCCATCGTGCCTATGCCACCCTGCCTATGGCAACCTGCCAATCTCATCCTGCCAATTCCACCCTGCCTATGCCACCCTGCCAATGCCACCCTGCCAATGCTACCCTACCAATGCCACCCTGCCAATGCTACCCTACCAATGCCACCCTGTCAATGCCACCCTGCCTATGGCAACCTGCCAATTCCACCCTGCCAATGCCACCCTGCCTATGCCACCCTGCCAATTCCACCCTGCCAATGCCACCCTGCCTATGCCACCCTGCCAATGCCACCCTGCCAATGCCACCCTGCCAATTAAACATTGCCCCACTGCCAATGCAAAACTATCACACTACAACACTGTCGTCGCAACATTTCCAATTCTTGGCTGCCATACGCAATCCTGCCACCCCCCACCCCCCGTGGAAATTGAATTTAGGTTATCGACTCTAATCCCTCAAGAAGCTTCCGAGCTCCGGAGACTGGATGGAGCCCGGTCTTTCGCATAATTAGTGCGATTGTCTGCAACAGAAACCCCCAACCTCTAAAGCCGCTTCTAATTCGGAATGGAAATTGCGGGACTTTGTTTTTACAAAAATATAGATGCTTCCGATGTTAATTATGATGCAAGTTTGAATTTATGCAGACTTGGCACCTGTTCTCTCTTCAGCGGTTAACCGGCGTCCATGACTTGGTTGGTGTTTAAAGCCATACGACGTTTCAAATTGAGGATGGAGTGCGATTTGTGGCGCTTTTAAACACTGTGACGTAATCAAATCAATCGAAAGTTAATAAAATTAAGTCTTAAGCATTTTTCTTAATTTTCAGTAAAAAATTCCTTTTCTTTTGGGCACTAAGTTTCTGAATTTTTTTCAGAATTTTTCAAAAAAGTTTCTTAAAATTTTGAAATGGGTCTATTCTAGAGATTTCAGTGGGTAATTTAGCGGACATTTCGTGACACTGTAGTGGTAAACAGACCTTGCTTAAACATTTTATTATCATTTAGAAATATGATGGAAACTGTTGCTGCCAAGAGCTGATGTTAGTAGCTGAAAATTCTGGTGAAATGAAAAACCGGGGTTAATCTTACCACATGGCTTCTGTGATAAACACTATTTAGAATGAATTTGAACAGGGGTTTGTTACTGAGACTGCTAGAAAAAACATCCATTGACGTTCTTTCATTGTCGTTCATTGACGTTCTTTCATAGCAAGTTACGTGTGAGCTGTAAATATCGCGCTATTTTTGCAACAAGCAACAAAGATTTGCCAGACGCTTCGTCTTCGTAGCCAGAAATGACGTCACTTAAAACCAATAGATTCAGGCTACGTTCACACTACTCCGTATTAGTTTCGCTCCGTTTTCGTTGATGAAAACGATCGGTGTTCGATAGGTGTTCACACTACATCAACAAAAATGATGTTGGAGGCCTCATTTTTGGAAAGAGGCGTTCACGAATCTTCAACAAATTGGCGTCATTATAAATGAAGTTAAATAAAAGCAGATCTTAAAAGAACTTTGCTGTAACAGCTGCTACAAAGCACGTAATTTGTTGCCGATGTTAGCGTATTCAAATGTCTCCGTTTTTGATGTTCACTGTGAAAACGGAGCGTATTCAATACGCGCCGTATTCGAAAGTATCCGTTTTCATTAGCGTTTTCAAACGACTCCGTTTTCATAGCAGAGTAGTGTGAACGCAAGGCAAAAACGGATTAGTTTGACTCCGTTTTCATTTGAAAACGGAGTAGTGTGAACGGGCCCTCAAATTTCTTGCCATATCCCACAAATTGATGTATTCTTACGCTATCTGACATGCCTATTGCTAAACTGCATATGTTTGAAAACTGACATGACATGCCTATCATTTTCAAAGCGTAAGGAACACAAGAAATGGTAGGACTGCCGGGTGCAGCTGCAGGCCCCCCTAATCAGGCAATAGTTAACACATTTTAGGCTCCATTCCGGCAGTTCTATGACAATGAAGCAATAATACTCGGGCAACATCTATACTAAGCCTCCCCCCCCCCTTAACACTGGAATTCGCTACACCCATTATCAATCCTTGTTTAAACCTTTTGCAATGTACTATGTTGTTATGCTAACGAAATATAATCAAAACGAAACAATAGTTTCAGTTAACGTTGAAAAGCTTGGACTTCAGTTACAGTGAAAATGCTTGTGACATCAACAACAGCAACATCTTAGGTATCTGCCTTAGGCCTGAGGTTAATGCCACAATGATAATCTGTGTGCCTTAAACCTCTCCCTACGGTACATTAGGCCGAATTTTTTACGCCACATAAGGCCGAACCAGTCCACCAAACCCGTAAAGAAGACCTCTTTGTTTAGGAAAACATTATTCGCTAAAATAGAAAAACAGAACAAGGGAAAACAACGGAATTTGGGTTGAACCGGATTTGAAGAAAGAAATTCTCCTCCACACAGTATGTATGGGAAGAGGCACTCTGAACGGACAACATACTGTACAATCAGGACATTTATGTAATGATAAAAATAGAACAGAAATACAGAAAATATCACCGATTAGGAACATAGATGGCTATTTTTAAAGAAGGTTGGCGAAGTTCAATCAAATTATCTTAAATAGTTTTTGTTGACTGAGAAACAAAAACAGCTAAAATAAACAACGAAAACGAGGAGGGGCTAGTTTGATTTTTCTCGTCATGTTGCTAGCTAGATTGTTTACATTAAAAAAAACTATTTAGGAAAATGTTAAAATCGGTAGCACAGTTGTTTACGCAATGCCTGTGACGAAAACATGGGTGATTATGAAGTCAGCAAATCCTTTGGCGATTCCCATCAGGACTGCCGAGCAGAGTTGATATATTGGCTTTTTTAAGCCAAATTCCAGAAATTTGGCTTTTTTCGAACTTGTTTGGCTTCAGAAATTCCTTTTTGGCTTAAAGTAATTTTTTGGCTTAATTTTGGCTTTTTCCCACAAGTACAGGCATAAGTACTTATTTCCTACCTTCCTTCTTTTTTCATCATTCTAACAGAAATTGACAATTAAAGCAGTTAATGCACATATTTTATTGTGATTTAGACACTTTGTTGAACATCTGTGATTTTATCCACCTTGTCCGATTGCTACGTGGTTTTCGCTTTGTTCTTCATTCTTTCTGTCTGTTGAAGCAGGGTTTAATGACCGCGATGCGAAAAGGGGGGAGGGGGACTTGGAGGAGGTTGTGTCGTATGGACTGACTTTGTACCTTATCTAAATCCGATGATAAAATGTTGAGGGAAGGGTAAATATTCTGATAGCACAAACGACTAAGCCTAAATTTTTCTTTTTGCTCCCTTGTTGCTTTGTTTTAATTTTACTAAAAATGCGTTCCCTACATTTAAATTATGTGTTAGAATTATATGAATACATAATAAAATGTTCCGTCAGTCAGTTGAAGAATACCTAAGCATTTTCACAAGAGTGGAAAATTTAAGCCGTGGGTAGAGAAATACGTAAGGGTAAAGGGGGTGAAGCACCCTATGGATTGATCAAAAAAGTTACTTCTAGCCTCGTTTACAACTTGAAATTTTCTATTGTTTTGCTGCCTCGTTTACATTTTGGCCTAATTTGGCTTTTTTCCAACATTGATTTGACTTGAAGCCCCAAAAGAATCTACCAACCCTGCTGCTGAGCCTCGTGGATTTGGATTAGAAGGAGCAAAATCTGCAGTGACAACCCGACACGTCCCAAATTACTCACTTCCAACAAACGAAATAATTTGTTTTTGTCTTTATTTTCTAAAAGTGATCTCCAAAAAACAGTAAGGAGGCTGTAATTCGCAACTCCAAATGGACATCTTACTGTGAAATGATAGTTTGGTGGGTTAGCAAGTAATGGTCTTTTGCTGCCACTCAGTGCCTGTCATCAAGAGGAACCTAGGTAATGTGTCTAGTATATCTAAAGTTAACTTAATGTATCTCCTTCCCATCTTCAAGAGGCTTATGACTCGTCAGACCCAAGAACTCATACGTATCCATCTACATACTAAAAGCTTTTTCGTCTGACACTCCTCAGAGCAAAAACGTCAGAATAGGTTCCGAAAAAAACACGATGGAAAAATATATACCCAGTTGTGGATCGAAATAGGCCAATCAGAAAAACGCAAGCACAAGACCGGTATAGTTGACCAATCAGTGCCGCAAGCCTAAAGAAAAATTACCAATGGAGTCCAAGAGAGAAAACGAACTCCTTTTGTCTACACAATGGCGGCTTTTCGTTTTTATGTAGATTGACTCCAAAACTGCTAGATGGAAGGACGACCGGGCTCTGCCAATTATCCGAAACATGTCGTCATTATAGAGTTTTGCACAATCTGGGTTGTCTAAAAGATGTTGACCAATGGCAGAATCACTTGTTTTAACAGTGTTTCTAGACCTACAAGATCGAGGAGGCTGTTCTCTTTGAGGGGCAGTCTCATAATATCTTTGTTACTCTGTAAAAATTGGTTGATGATTTTGCTCAAGATGAATATTCGGAGAGATAAAAGACGCTTTAAGACTCTTCGAATATTTTCGACAAAATTGAAGGCAACATTTAGTCTCCTGCCGTTCCATCTCCGCTACCACCAACAGATGGCGCTAATTTTTGTAATCTTATTTCTCGTTAAACGCTGAATATCATCACAGATCTCTGTTGTTTGATATCGTGATGTTAAAAGTACCTTACCTTCCATTGTACAATACATTTGGGCAGGTGTTG